TTGTGTCTGAATAAGCCACAACTTAGCCATGAAATGTCTGATGTTACCTTATTTCTCAGCAGGATGCTCCAGCCAGCTTGTCTTTTTTTTCCTCCCAGTGTATTGAATTTCTTTGTAATTTCTGGATTTTTATAGTATTTAATATTTTAGGAAAAACAAGAAAAATGAAATTGCAGGACAGTTTCTCTTAGTGTTCTTTTCTTGCAGAGGTATGTTTTTTAATGGGTGGGAGAGAGTTCAGTGAAATGGAAAAAATGCCAAATGTGGAAATATTTTACCATCCATCTTAAGACTGTTAACTGTGGAGATATTGCATCACTTTTTCAGCCCGTCACTTGTATATTCTGTGAAATTCTGAGACCACACCCACAGAGATACACCTTTGACCTGTGCAATTCATATGTGTTAGTATAATTGCAGTGTTGGAATGGTTCCTTTGTTAGTAACATGGTTTTAGAGAGCTTCTCATATTGATAGTCTCTAAGGTAAATTTTGAAATATCTTTTCAGATCAGGATTTATATATCTGACAAATTTGGAGGTAACATAACCTATTTTTCTTCCACATTGTTGTATTTCTATCTAATTTTTTTGCTTGCTTTGAGTAAAATAAAATCTGGCATCTGTGTGACTGACTTAATATTTAGAGTTTATTTGGAAACACTTTTTGGTGTCCTTTGGTATTATACAAACTTTTCTAGCTCTTGAGTATTTAACTTGTAATTAAGCAACATTATTCCAGTTATCCAGAAAAACCCAGCTCTCTCTAGTTTAAGACCCTTTCAATCTGAAAAAAGCAACAGTTTGACATTTATGTGAAAATCTCCTCAGTAAGGCTATTATCTGTAGCATTGTGCTTTTTATTCGTACAATTGAACCTCTATTCAGCACTTAATAAAGTAATGTGTTGCAGGCAGTCCAGTTTGTGTCTGAGTGATTATGAAGTGTTTATGACAGCTTCTAAGCTGACACTCTCCGTAATGGTGTTACATTGACTTCTAAACACCTTTGCAGTCTGCCTCCAGGAGTGTGTGTGTCTCTGCAGTCTGAGTGGTTTCACATTAACATCTCCTTGGAGTAAGATCTTTGACTACAGAAGTGTTACTTGCAAATGGAAGATACCATTAGGGCTGCTTCAAAGGACTGAAATAATGTTTGGACTGCTGGGTGCTGAAGTAAGGGCTGGGGGTTTTGAAGTGCAGTGTCTAAATCTGTATTGCCTAAGAAGCGGAAGGTGTCCATCCAAATGACTTTTCTTTGATCTTTGTTTTGAAATTGGGGTGGAGGGGAAGGTTAAAAGTGTTCTTTAAAATATGCCTCGCTAAGTGGGGAGAACTCTGGGAATACACAAAAGTATGACTAGAAGTTCCTATTTGATAATTGTGCAGCGTAGCTTTGTGTTTTATTTGGAATTTTTTCCCCCTTGCTCCCAGTTTCATGTTTCAAATACAATTGGAACTGTTTGCTGCCTAATGTGGTTTCCAAGTATCTGTTCTAGATGTTCCTGTTCAGGGAAATGCATCTTGGCTGGTTTTGTGGCAGATAATTTTTTTTTTTTCATTGTATGCTGGAAGTTTCAGAAGTAGAAAAAATCATCTTAATTGTTCATATTACAAGTAAAAAAGAATGATTAAGGTTGAGTTGAATAAAGTAGGAACTACCAAAGGGACCTTTTAATAGCAAGCACAGCTGTATATTTAGTGAAAAATACTTGAAGGCTGTGGTATAATGATACTGCCACAGACTGATGGGATGTGTCAGCCCACGTGGTAGGTGACTTCTGTGTGGAGACCCAGGGAATGCAGAGGACTCGTTGGATAAGGATGGCATCACACACTGATGTTTTTCCACTGCCCGACCTCAAGTTTCTTTAAATGATGCTGTCAGTAATACTATGATTTTTTTTAAGTTTTTAAAAACTGCAGTTGTACGGCAGATGGTGGATTTAAGTGGATGTGTAGATGGATGTGTATGGTAAGTCAGACATGCCAGGTCCATTTTGTTTTCTCAACTGTTCATCAGAAGCCCTGTCTGCTGGGGTGTTGATGTCGTTGTCTTAGTCCTTTTGTAATGACAAATAAAGTGAGGACGTTGAGGAAACCATAACCAAAACCCTTTCTGAGCTTTCATTGTTTTTCAGAATACAATTAGCATTGTCATAATTTCAAATGCTAGGTGCCATTTCATACTTAATTCAGTTGCTAGAGTGGATGTCTGTAACATACTTTGACCATCTAAATTCTTATAATCTCTAGATAATTGCAGAAATTTCTTTTGAATGAAAAAGCAGACTCTTTGAATTTCTAAGCTAAAGTGATAAATATTGTCCTTTTTACTTACATTCTTTCCTTACTCTCTCAGTAGCAAGATGACCGGTAGTGGTCTTCAACCCAACTTCAAACAGTATTTTGTGGTGGTATCTGTCAGTTGCTTATTGTCATATTATAACATCATATCATGATAATCTAGATCATATTTAAAACATTAATCAGAATATAAAAAACCCCACAGCCTGATATCTTCCCTGTTCTCTGTTACAGTTTTTTAATATACCTGCAGTTTGCTTTTATGTAGTTGTGCAGTAGTTTAAACATTGAATTTCGAACTTTGTGTTAGTTTGGTGTACGTTTGGCTTTTTTCTTTTCACCGTGTGAAAATAATTTTCTATGGTTGGAAACTATTAGTTATCCTTAGTGTGAACAAAACTTCCTTTGTTCTGTTTTTTAAGGTGCAAACTGGTATGCTCCAAACAATAAAGCTCTGTCATCAAAAATTAACCAGTGCTCCAGATTTCTGGTCTGTCATATTTTAAGTAATAGCTCAGGATGTCTTAAGTGGAGGAGAGAGTTGTTCTTCCTTTTTCAATCTGTCACTGTTGGAAGAGAGTGGTGAAGACTTCACTGGGGGCCGGGTTTTGAATCAGCGTGTTCTCTGCTTGCAGCCTTCCACGTAGGTCTGGGGCTTGTGGTTTGATACCAGGCGCTGGGAAAGCTGAAATGTTCTATCAGACCAGCTTGGAGCCGTCATTTTGGATTCACTCTTTCATTGAACGAGGACCTGAAGCTGCTTTTATAGCTTAATATCCAATTCTTGAAACCTGTTTGGAAATATTCTTGGCTTTTGGGATGGGAAAGAAAAACTTTTAAGAGCTTTGAAATTTGCCACAGGGACTCGCTACTTAGCTGGATCAAATCCAAAATGGCAGCCACAGCCTAGTTTCTTCACAGGTGCTTTTTGAAGAATTTAAAGCTCTGTTTTCAGTTCGTGAAGTCTATTTATATTTTGTCTATACTTATGAGACTGTGTAGCTCAAGGGACTGGTAATGAATGGGATGTGGAGCCTTTTACTGATACTTGCCAGCCCACATCTCACCCAAACTGGCAGCGACAAAGTTGTTAGCCATTTAGCGATGGGGCTGGGCTTCTGTTAAATGGAGTTCCTTGTCCCACTTCAGCTTCTAGTGGAATAAGTGTCCCATTCACAGAAAAGATTGGCTGTCTATGCTGGCTGTCTCAGGAGTGAGATAAGGCCTGAACTGGCAGGAAGATCAAACTCTATAATCTCTCTACTCTGAAGATGGTGCTTTCAGTCCAAATTGATGCACGTGGCCTCAGCAATGGTAATAAAGTTTTATGTTTTATATAGATAAATGAAGGGCATTAGCATCAACCACAGTTAATTCAGAATTTTATAAGACTGCAAATAGCAGAAGCTTCTGCTGGTGGTAGTGTGTAAAAAAAGATAATTAAAGTCAAAGAAAATCTTGAACTCTAAAGCTCTAGTGCATTTTGCAATGCTAAGCAACCCAGAGGAACAACTGAGCTTTTATAATTCAGGGCATACAACAAAGTCCAATGCCTTCTATGATTTCCTGTTTCTATAGAACAGCTAAGGACTTAAGCTGTTATTTTTTGGAACTATGATCAATTAAGTATTGATGTGTTAATCTGATCTATGTAGTAATGTCATGTCCAGATTTTTTTGTAAACTTTTTACTGAATTTGACTTTTTCTTTACAAATGAGATGCCAGTGGTTGTGTTGGATCTTGTATTTTCATTACAAATCTGCAGTGGAGGTGTGTCTTAAAATGTGCTCCTTTTTGGCTCCCAGGAGTCAGCAACATATTACCTGCTAGGTACATGAGCTATACAGATGGCTGAAGTTATCTGAACGTTTACTTGCTTTTTTTTGTAGTTCTACACAGCTTCCCCTTCAAAACAGTTAGGAGGAAACTACCTGTAATCTCATCTTTGTCGTTGTCTGATCCTGTGGCTTTGGTTAGTCCATTTAACCTTTCTTTCTGTAATTTCCACCCAGTATAAAGTGATAAAATAGTTATGTTTTAAATAATGAATATTAATTATTAAAAAGCATTATATGTATGAAAAGTAATGGGCTGGGATTTTCGTGTTAGGTGCTGAAGTACAAAGAAGCTTCATTTGTATTTGTACGTTTTAGGCTTTTCTTTGAAAATCTCAGCTTTAAGCTCTACCAGGTCTTGGCATCACAGGCTAAAAAAACATGCTCTCTGGAGTTTGGTATATTTAAGAGCAGAAGCTGAGTTAAGGTTTGGCCTTGGTGCGTCTTACATTTGGACTATAATTTTATTTGAGGTAGATTGGAGTTAGAGCTGATGTGCTGGCATAGTTAAAAAGTAGAAGGAGGTGGCTGAGTTGGGTTGGGTTATTTTGTGTGAATCACTTCTTCCATACTTTTGTTATGCTAGTTCTTTTCCCTCTTGTTTTCTTTTGTAGCCATTGATGTGCATACATGTGTGAAACAGCATTTTAATGATTTGGGTGAAAAAATCTTTAATTGCCAATAATAATAGTTCGAAAGCCTTATATTTTTCTTCTTTGCCGTTTCCTCCTTTTCCTTTTCATAGAGCTGGTGTGTTCTGATGGATAGAAAACATGCTGCTGTCTTCATCTCTTTTAATCTCTTTATTACTGTGTCTCTCTCTCTCTCTTTAATTTTTCTAATTTTCTGCTTAGCTGTGCTCTACTTTTTTCCAAGCTGTCGTTTCTGGATGCAAATATTATCTTTGTGTGTGTGTGTTGTTTTTTTTTTTTCTTCTTTCCTCACACTGTCCTCCAGACTCATGATCTTTTAAACAATCAGGAAACCTTTACTGAGTTGATTTCTGATCATCATTTTTTTGTCTTGTATAGAATCTGGTCAGCGAGCTCTTCAGGGCAGAGCCTCTAGCTGATCCCAGAGGGAGAATTAAACTTGTTTTGCAAAAGCTGGAGTACTACCATGTTGTATGTTGTTCAGATGATGCTGCTAGCTGGAAGAGGAGAAACTGCTATGACTGGAACATCTGCCTAATAAAATAAGCACAGGATAGACTTTAATTCTGATCTTGATTACAGTTTTAAAACTGTTGTGTCCATCAGGAATAATTCTGATCACATCATTGACAGTAATGTTGATTCATACCAATGTGGAGCTGCGAGCTGTCTGCAAAACTAAAATGGCAAAGAGTGTTATTTCCCCAAATTTGTGTAGCTTGAATGTTGTTCCAGGTGTAATATGGAAAAGCAGCAGTACACTACAATCTGTGTTTGCTTACTGCTTACAGAATGATGGGCTACCTCTGCTGTAAATAGTGCTTTCAAAGTAATCTTGTGAAAGATTTGTGCTTTCATGGGGTAGGTTTCATTTTGCCCACGTTATCTAAAGTAGTGATAACAAATAATGAGGCTCAGGGTTAAGACTGAAAGTAAGCTAAGAGTCTGAAATACTAGCGATTTGTTGGTCAAACAGTAGTAGTATTTTAACTTTTTGAACGTGCGATCTGAAGTGCAGAAAGAATTGGGAACAACTATAAAATGACATTTCAAAAAGCAACTTGGATTTATAGTGTGATTCTTAAGAACCTCGTTCCAAAATGTGTTCACTTCTGATATTGTAAACTGCTTGTTTGGCAAAACTTTATGCCAACATGTTGACTATGTTCTTAGTCTCATTACATCTGTTTTAAGTTGTTGGTTATTTGGAAATGAGCTTCACAATGTTTGCCATTTTCCTGAAGTTTGACGTTCCATATCGGATCCATTACCAGGCAGTTATGAAAATGCATTCTGACTGACCATTTACGGGAAGTCTGGAAATTCTTCATAACTGCTTCTGTTTTAATCTTTTCAAGATTGCTATTAGTGACAAACTTAATTAGTTTGTCTCTGTATTTTTGAATGTAATTTTCACACCTGGAGAATAGGGAATGTACCAATATATCAAATTCTCTGATCTTTTACCACTGATGTTTGCCACTCTTGATTGTTGGTTAATTTGCATTTTTCTTCGAAACACGCACTGTGTAGAATAAAAGTTTGTGTTTCAGATTCCTTGAATTTTTGTTAATTATAGCCCACAGCCAACTTTCAAGTCTTGTTTGTTTTAAATCACGTATAGTCATTAATAGTAGGTATTACTAGTATCTCATTCATGCAGTCCAAGGCACGCATTTCTAGAGGCAGTCCATCTTTGTTGCTATAACTGGTGTTCTTCAAGACTGCTAAGATATTTAGAGAAATTGTGGATGGTTGGTTAGAAAGGCAACGTCTTGCCAACTTACTTTCTTACTTACCTTTTGTACAGTGTCTTTCCACCTACTTTCTTACCTGCTAAATATAATTTTTTAAGTGTGTATATTTTTTTACATTGTGTGTTCATGATCCATATGTTTTGCAGATCAGTGGTGAAGCTCAGGAACTCTTTTCGGTCCGCCATGGTCCAGTTCGAGCTGCACGGATTTTACCAGCTCCACAAATCAGTAAGTATATATTTATATGGCTCATAATTAAGCATAACATTTTTTAACAAATATTTTTCCAAATCATTGTAGATTTTTCCATTAATTTTCAACTGTCACCTTCATAATAGCTTTCTACGAGTATTACTTCTTTTTTCCTCCTACTCTGTAATCCAGTGCTTTCTCCAGTTTCATCTTCAGATTTTAGCTTTGATGCTGCTTCAGTGGTGGTTTAGAGGATATCTAGATAGATCTGTGCTCAGAGGTTGGTCCAGAGATGTTCATAATTCTATTTAGAAATATATATTATCAATATTGTATTGCTATAAAATAATATTACCTTTTTTATAGCAGGGCAGTAGGGTGGTACTAGCTTTTAATTTGTTCCCCTTCTGCTTATTTTATGTGAACTTTATTCAGACAATTTAACCCTTTTAGTGGTTGAGCTTTTATCATGATCCCTTGAGTACCGATAGGCACCTCCTCTCTTTTACTGCTTAAAGCTGTTTTGTCAAGTTCTAAGACTAGGTGCTTAGTTTGTTAACCAGTATTGTTGCAGAGTTTGAGTTAACCCTCTGGAAGAGCTTGCTGTAAAATTTCTGTTTTTTCTGATAGTAAAATAGCGCTTTTTCAATTTAGTAAGTTACACTGCTTATGAACTCCTTCAAGCGGTTACTGTCTTTCTGGCTCTAAATTGCATATATTTAGTATTTGACAATGATTGTTGTTATATTAGAAAACTATTCAAATTAGCTCATATTAAATTAAGTCAAACCTTTTAAAAACATGTTTTGATCTCTTTTTACATAGTTTGGTTTAAATAAATCTTTGATTAAAAGTACATGAATGTATCATTGACCAGTATCTGGAATCAGATAAAAGTCAAGCTGTAATAAGAGGCCTTAGATAACTAACACATGAGCTTTAATGATTCTGAACAAAATAAAAGGAATTTGTAAAGGAGAAGCTGATTACCATCAGTAAGCTCAAACACTATTTTACTGTAAAGCTGTAAAAAAGGAATTATTGAAAATTGGACTCTCTTGGTGGATGGATTTGGCATGTTCCTAGAAACAGATCTTAGTTTGTGATAAAAAGCTGTTTCCCAGGTGTGAAAGGAAAGCTCATGGTTTTAACTTGGTGACTTTACAGTAGCAGAACTTAATAGTTTGTCAACTATTTCGTTAAAATGCTATAGTCCTTTGATGTGAGATCCTCTGCTGCATCATGTGCTTCATGGCATAATGAAGCATTGTTTCGAAAGAGTTATTTCATACAGGCTTATTTCATGCAGGTTTATTGCAAAGGAGAGCTCCTCAAATCTGATTTAGCAGGTTATAAGCAGTCCTAGGAGCAGGAACGTGGTGCAGTATCTGGAGCTGGCCTTGCACGCTGCCAGCTTGGATCCGGTGAGGTTTATTAGTTCAGGCTCTGTGCCATGCTGGAGCAGTTAAATGGCTCCTGGAACTGTTCTGACCTGGCAGCTGTACTGCAGTGTTCGTGCAGGGTTTTGTCTGAGCTAACAAACCAGGCAAGACCTGACCTGGCCCAGCACTGCAGCACTTTGATGTCTCTGTGTCCATGGCATGGTTGGTCTGCCGCCTGGATAAGATGCCCATAACGAACTGAGAGATTTCTGTAAATAGCACTGAAAAATGTAGATATTAACTCTTCTCTGTGGACAGAGAATAACCACCGTTGCCTTCAACAGCAGATATGGCTTTGATTATTTTCTACAGCTTGCAATATAAATGGCCTTTTTGGAGACTGAAGGTTCACACTGTGACCAAATTTCAGGCTTAAGAGAAGAGATAAAGTTGTATAGCTAATATTCAGAATATGAGAACCTCTCTGTCTGGACCCTGTCAGTCTTAGAAATAAGAATACTAAGTCCTGGCACTTTGCGTGCCACATTCTGTGTTATCTGCCGCACCGTCTGGTTGGCACAGCTTTTTAACTGGCCTCTCTTCACTTCCAAATCTGAACGCTGTGACTGAGTTTAGTATTTACTTCTATGTACACAGGTGCCTGGTTTGCTGGGCTCTGGATTTCCCTGTCTCTTCAGATAAAACAAGCATACAAAGACAAATTGATGCAACTTTTGTGATTATTAGAAGGGAGAAAAATATTAAGTGGTGGATACAAAACAAAGCTGGAGCTCTGCCAGTTAAATTTAGCTGCTGTTCTCTGTGAAGGGGAAAGTACGGTTGGTACCATCGTTGTAGCTAATGGCAGTGAGAGAACCAAGCAAAAATCAGAGTGGATGAACTCCCTCCTCCACTTTACATGGTTCAGGTTTGTGGTGTCCTCACTATGACTCGAGTTACTCTGTCCAGGGTTTCCTCTCACACGATACCTAATGGCTTTGTGTAGCCACACTGAGCTAATTATTAATGTTCTTTCTTCAACATGTTTTCTGATTTTTTCACCACTTCTTCTAGATGGTGCCTTTCTCATTTTTCTGAGGTAGCTGACTGTGTGAATGCATACTTGTACAATTGAAATTATACTGAGTTTTATTAAGTATTTGGTCTTGGATATTCCTGCATTTGTCTTGAGCTGTTTCTCTTCTGATTAGCATTTCTGAGATATTTAGGGAAACATTAAAAATATTACTTATTTGTATTTCTGCAGTAGTTCTATGTTCTTTCACCCATGAAGTCACTAAAAAAAGATTTGGAACTCCTCTAGCTTTTTAAAAAAATTGTTGGTTTTTTACTTCATTTTGAGGTCTGTTGCATATATACTTCTGAAATCAGTGCTAAGGAAATAATACATAACTTACATTTACTGCTTTGCTGTTCTTTCTGGAGTGAGTTAGTGCCACAGTGTCCCATTTTTCATTACTTATCCCGGGTCATTTTCCAAAACCCTGGCCAAATACCTGCTTTCTGCCTTGTGTTGTCCCATTTATTGAGGTGGGCTTGCATAGTTTGAAGCTGATCATGAAACGAGGAAAACGTGCAGGAATAGCATTGTGTGTGGTAGTTCATGGTTAAAGGGAACATGATGACAGGCTTGTGTGTTGAAGTTTAGATCAGTTATTGTCTGTAAAATCTATTTCCATGTCTTAACATTATGAAAAAACAAATTCCTCCAGTGAACTGAATTAATTTACTGCCATTTCCTAGATTGTGCTTCTTGCAGAAAAGATGATATAGTAGTCGTACATGTCTCAATGAATTAGACTGCTTAGTCAAATGGACTGATACAGAAAAAAGATAAAAGGAAATAAGAAAGGAAATAAAAGAAAGAAATCGGAGCCACTATGTTTAAAACAACTAGGAACCAAGGGAACCTTACAGATGAAGGGTTGAAAACTACAATTAACACAAGGAGCTAAAATTAATCGGGACACAGAGTAGTTTTGCATTTGAACATGTTAAACTGTTAAGTTTAAATTTTGCAGCAGATTTATCTCTGTACTGTACTGCTTATGTCTTTGATGTTGGTAAAATAAAATTTGAGCCTCAAAAGCTGACTCAGCTTTACGGGCAGGTGTACTTAAAAGAACTATAATATTTAGGTTGCCTTCTAAAGGAAGGCAGATGTGAGTTTTGTATATATTCAACCACTTGGGTGGCTTAGTGGTTTTAAGTCCCTGAAGGCCAAAATAATTGCACAGTATGCGTAGCGGTGGAACTGGCCGTACAAGCTGAAGAAGCAGTAGCAGTTGGTAGCTAGATTTGGATGGGTGTAAGTGGCTTGTGCAGGTGTGCATTTAAGTTTTGGTGTTTTGTAACTGTTATGTGGGTTGTTAGGGTATAATGACTGTTCGTGTGTGGATTATAAAATTACAGAACAGAATTGTCAAGCATAGCAAGGAAGCCTTTTATAGATATTATAAGTAAGAATTTTGGAGCACGGCATTTCAAAATCCTAATTTCTTTGAGGCTGTGTGAACTGACCTGTATCCCACCATTTCAGTTCTGGCCGCATGACATCAATGCTTTAGACTTTAGACCTTAGACTTTCACCTTATTAGGCTGATGTCTTTTAAGTTTTTTAAAGAAGATTTGGTGAAAATATATATCTGTCTTCAGTTAATGTGTGACTCTAGAAGCACTGATCTCTAGGAGTGCTTCAAGGTCATATTTTCTTTTTTTTTCGTATAGAACCTACATAGTTATTGGAGAATGAAACTATGGTGCTGTGCAGAAGAAAAAACAACTTTCTATAACCGTGCACAGTTCTGTCTCTTGGACAGAACTGCCAAGACGCTGTTCTCTAGCTACCGTTGCTTCTTGCAACATTGCCGTCTTGTCATCTCAGAAACTGGAGGGTGGAATGGGCTGAGGAGGTGGGAGGTGCGGAAATCAACAGGAGCTGAAGGGTCTCCAGGCTGATAGCTTTTGGGAGATGTAAGTAGCAGGTATGATGATGCAGGTCTTGGAGAAGGACTTTGAGACTTGAAATGTCTGGATGATGCTGGGAGTTAAGGGAGATGGAATAGTCTGATGCTCCCAGTCTAGAACATGAATCCTGAAGGAGCACCTGAAGGCGTGGGGTGAGGACAGCAGCTGCAGCGCCGTTGATCAGGCGTGATATTGAGTAGTGCAGTTAGGGCTTATCTATGCAGGAAGTGGAGTGTTTATAGATGCTACCCTGTAGAAGTTACCCTGAAGCTGAGGAAAGAATTCATACAATGGTTTTAGGAAAGAATTCATACAATGGTTTTAGGAAAGGATTCATACAATGGTTTTAGGATTGAATCGAACCTCTTCGCTTCCTCTGTTTCAAGTAGCACATATGCTTACTTGCATTTGTGGTCAATAAGAAAGCAGACATAAAATATTAGTGATTAAGAAACGTTGAAGATTTTTTTTTTTCTTTTCCCTGAAAGGAAGAAGCAAAACAGGGAGTGAAAACCGTGTGTAGTGAATGCCAGCCATTGGGCCTAATGCATTCCCAGGTACTGGTTGGCCACTACACTGATGTGGGGCAGGACCAAAAACGCAACACAATTTTCAAATAACAGAAATAAGAGGGGTTTACTTGAACAGGTCGTGCATCACAACTGCCTTTATTAAATGTCTGTGATGGAACTTGAGCAGTGGCGTTACCTACCAGAAACGTATATATTCCATCATACATAGATGCTATTGCTAAATAGGTCAGGATTTGACATTCATACAGTGCATTTCTAATGCAAGGGAAAAGAGGGTACTTTTCATAGTTTTGAGTAGCTTTTGAATTCCTGTGATAATCACTGAAGTTTAATTTCTATTCTTCAAACAGGTATGCTGCTGCTGTTATTATTATTGGCATTATTGAAGGGCGGCAGTAGGCCCAGGAGATATCTATTCACAGTTTCATCAGAAATACAGTTCATAAGCTGCTTTGAGCTTATGTGTAGATAACCTTTTGACTTCCTAAAGTTCTAAATGTTGATTTGTATGAAATTTCATTTAGCTGCGGATATTTTTTTTTCAGTTTTAAGTATACTAACTGAAGTTAGATTTTTTTGAAAAAGACATACATCATTTCGCTAAATGGAGCTGTAGATAAGGTGGTGCCTTGTTGGCAGGAAGGACAGTTTTCATTACTTTAATTGTGTGATTTGTCAGGATTTTCAGCTTTTTATAAATGCTGTAGTGTTATATGACAGAATTAAAAGGATTTAGAATAAAAGGAGTTTAAGAAAAAGACTTTGCAACAGGATTTCAATACTTTTTGTATTTGAGGGATTTAGCTAGCTGTTTTTCATTTCAATCATCCCGCTGCATTTTGTTAAACACTGTGTGGGGAGCAGGTGTGTACAACGTCAGTATATCGCACATGCAAATAAACACAATTTTACAAATAAAAATTAATCCACCATAACTTGGAAGATTAAATCCCAGCGCAGACCTAGAAAGGGTTGCTGACTCCATTAAGCATTGCAGAGAATAACAAATGTCGCTTTTTGCAATCTCATGAATGGGACCGCTATTAACCTGATTTAATGCCCTGCAGAGTCCTCAAAATAATGATCCTTTTCTACAGTATTAATATTTACCTTCTGAAAGTATATATTTGAAGTAGAAAATTGATTTATTTTTTTTTCTTTTTAAATGAGGACCTTGGACATTACAGACTGAAATCAGAAGTTTAAGCACCTATTGTACGAATTTTGCAAATCTCTATCATGGGTATTAACTGCTTCTTTTTGATTTTGTGCGGTTGTTTTCCTGTACTCCCTACCAGCTTTCTTCCCCTTGCTCCCCCTTCCTTTTTGTTAAACTTGGAACTAGACCATAAAGAAACACATGAATTCGTATCTCTAATATATCCTAGTTTGAAAAAAAAAAAAAAAGTTAAATACTTAATGTGAAATCCTGGCTCTACTTAAATCAATGTCAGAACTCCTGGTAGTCAGCATTTCGAGAGACTGGCTAAGTGAACAGAAACAAATGGAGTTCATCTGTTACTTGTATTGAAGAAAACAAATTGGTTGCCAGGTTCTTAAGAAGACTATATGTTTCATTTATCAATTTACAGGTCAGTACATACAGTACAGGTATGACTCATAAAAGCCCTTGAAATAATAGGAAGAAAAGGAAAATACATTTGACTGTTTTAGGTTACTTGTAAAGCTATTGTTGATGGTGAAATTATTGATGTGGCCCATTTGACTTCATAAATACCCAAATGTGTGGGAGTGAAGACTTATCCTTGGACAGATGAGAGTACAGAACAGTTTTTGTTACAAATTAATTGTAGGTACCTGAGTTATTAATAATTAACAGAGACTTATGTGAAAATGTATATTGTTAATTGTTGTGCCTTTCTGAATAATTGATTTAGTGCAGTACACCAGTTTTTGTGAATTAAATTTTGAACAGACTGTATCACTAATATTCTTTATAGATCAAAGGGTTTGGTGTATAATGGAGGGGGAAAAAAATAATTCCATTATTCACCACACACATGCGTGCCTATAGATAGAGAAGTAAAAAGTCCAAGGCTGAAAGAAAATGGAGGAAATTTAGTAGTGGTGTTGGTGGTGGCTGTTATTCTGTTATTTAATTTGGTTAGAAACATATCCTGGAATTTAGAAAACTTTGTTCACAAGTAGAAGAGAGATTTTTTTTTTTTTTACTTGATTTAAGTTTTATTCCTGTTTACGTAACAATAAGGCAAAGTTTTCAAAACTTTAAAAATCCACTCTAAGAAGCGTGGGGTGTGTAAGAATGTGATGGCTGTGGAGTGAAGGTGTGAGTGCAGTTTGGGAAGATGGAAGGCTGGCTTGAATTGCCGAGCTCTGGTGCCAGCAGTGGCGGCGTGCAGAGACCTCAGGGCAGGCAGAGCTGCATCGGCAGCCGCATCGGAGCAGAGGACGAGCCCACACCAAACTCTGGGGCCGCGCTGGTGTTAGGTGGCAAAGCTAACCTTAACGGTAGATTGGATATGGTGTGAGAGCTGCGTTTGCACTTTGAGCGAAGAGCAGGCATGGTCTGAGTCTCGCTGGAGGTTGCTTTCTTAAAGGCTTAAATTGCTCGGTGATGGAATTTATTGAAGACTGTTTTGAATTTAATCTTGTATTTTCTCAGGCGCAGGGCGTGGGCTGTAAGCATGGCCATGCTTTGGGAAAACACTGGCAGCCCTGCTTGTCACGTGCTGAAGAGAGTGGCTGCTTTTGTGCTGTGCTCTTATGGTTAATACTCTTATACTGCACTTACACCCCAGTAGAATAAATTGGAAACCAATGTGTGAAATCCACGCAGAGTTGGTGACAGCCTTGTTACAGACAGCTTTTATAAAACAATGAAAAGTGAGCAAGTGTTACTTGTTAAAGTTACAGAATCCTTAACCCCGACTGAAATGAATAGAAAATAACTCCAAAATCCTGGCCAGGTTTTGCTGCTGGTTTTGTTAGTCATTGCTGTCTCAAGAACAGTCCTTCCAGTGTTCGTGACTCTGCCTGTTATTTGTGGTTCTATCACTGGTCTTGTCTGGGCTGTGAGTTTTGTATTATATATTCAATATCCTTCCAACACATTGCCCCCCACAACATGCACACTCATACTTTTTAAGGTAACGCAAACAGTACATAGTGATTTGCTTTTTGTTTTTTGCCTTCCCTCTTATTAGGTGCTCAGAAATGTGATAATTTTTCTGAGAAGCGACCTCTTCTTGGTGTGTGCAAAAGCATTGGATCTTCTGGGTAAGAATGTTTTTCATTAATAAAGTCTTATATGTAGATTGTAATGTAATCTAAGAAAACCCAGCAGATTACATCTTTAAAGCTCTATTCCTTTTTTGCTAATAGGATAACACTGTGAAGTGCTTTTAAAGTTTTGTTCAGCGTGTCAGCACACATTTGCCTATGATTTATGCATTTTTAGAAGAAATAAAAAAAAATAGAGATTCTTGATATAGACTAGATGAAGAGGTATTTTGAGTTTCTTTTGTTCTCAGTGTAATCACAATTTTATGATGGCCTTTTCTGGTATTAATCCTGGTCAGTCAGAATTATTATTGAGAAGTACCTAAAGTCATATCTGTGTCTTAAAAGGTGATTAAAAGATGCTTTCAAGCAGCAGTCATATATCAAATGAATTCCAAGCACCAAGCAATTTCATTGTTAGCAGCAGCTTGTTGTTTATTAGAAAAATACATGTTAAATCTATGTCTTTGGGTTAAAATAATAAGTTAACAGTCTTGTCTTGTGCTCTCTGGACAGTATGGTTGTATCACTCCTCTTGCAAAAGAAGGTCTTGGTACGCTGATTCAGGCGATGCAAAGGATTTATACCTACAGGAAAATATTTGCTTTTCAAGGGTAATCCACTACACGGAGATTCAAAGGCTAAACAGTTGAAGTAAATCTTCTTACAGTAGTAAGACTAATTCTGTGCCACACCTTTTTCTATGAAGAATTTAATCACTCTGGGTGTGGAGATCAGGTCTCTGTAAATTTCTCTGTATGTATTGTTACTGTGTTAAACTAGAATATTTATGTTATTCGTCTTAAATGTTTAAAATGAAAAACTGTATTGTTACTGTGTTAAACTAGAATATTCATGTTATTTGTCTTAAATGTTTAAAATGAAAAACATGTAGGGTAGAGAAGTGAAATGTCTTTCTATTGATGTACTTACAACTTGCAAAACTGTTTGTAGTGCCTTTTCTCCTTCCCCCTCCTGTAAGTGTATGTAATCTTGTGAGTGACGCAAATACTGCTCTTGTAGGACTTTGTTTTCATCCAAACAATGTGTTTATATGGATAAATGTTGGATGGGAAAAAACTTTCCTTTATTCCTTTGCTTTAGAAGCTGAGATATCTGAGAAATGAACAAACCGAAAGGATTGTTATTTTCACTATGTTATTGTATTCCTCAGTTAATGGGAAATACTTCAAAGGTTATTGGTAGTTTCTGCTTTTCTACAAAAAAAAAAGATACCCTTGTATGTTTTCAAAATGAAATAGTTTTCAAAACGAATGGGTAGTTTTGTGTTACTACTTATCGTTAGTTAAATATATGCAAATAGAAGATTTAACATCAGGCTTTCCACTGTGTCCAGAAGACTAATGCATCATTTAAAAACAAAAAAAAGAGGAGACTGTGCTACAGGCTCTTGTTTACCCATTTAATAAAGAGTCAGTTTACTCATGGTTGTAAACCTTCAACAGAAAATTCTGAAGCACTTTTCTATGTTTACTGTTCATTGCAAGTTATTTTTGAAAGAGTCCTTGCAAATTACCTGTTTAGTCCGTAGCTTTCGGATTGAGTTCTTTGATAGTTTGCCCTCAACTGGAGTCACACTCCTTTTAAATTGGCTCAAGTGTCACACTTCTTTTTTTCTTCTGTTACATTCATAGATCATTTGATTGCATTTCTATGATTGTTATGCATACAGAAGAATTTGTGTAGAACATTAGAACAGCTGTGTCACGAATGGCCTCGGAACCTGAATCACAATTTTAGCTCTGTTAACTTGAGGTTTTGTGCTTAACATTGTTTCCTGTGTATCTTAATGGTTGTGGACAGATAAAACACCTTTAATCATACATCTGAAGAAAATACTACATTTATTCCAGAGGATTTATTCTGAAGCACTTGATTTTTTCACTGCAGTCATCTCCTCACCTACTTTGGAGATTATGCCGGCTATGGCATGAAATACTGCAGCTGTCAGCACACCGCTGAAAATGTGCAGGGAATAGGAGGCCTATTCTGTCTGCTGCAATGGCAGGTAAAATAATCAGTGAATGATGCAGCACTGACACTAAAGTATTTCCCATTTAACAGAAAGGTAAAAGGAGTGTCTAAAAAAACCTGAATTATTTTCTCGAAGTCCAAAGAAGAGATTCAAAAGTGAAATCCAGGTCTTCCAGCACACAATCTGTGATGCTGATACCTTCAGCTACATTGTCTTTAATATAAACTGGATGAGATTGGACATGGTTAATGACAACGAGGCCAATGTCCAAAACAATTCTGCCAGAACAGTCTCCCCTGCCCTTATCCTCCTGTTCACTAGGACACCAGGTTGTCACTTTTTTAAAGGAGAAATGTGTGGCCTCCTGAAGCAATAATTCTATGTCCAACACTCCTCTGGCTTGCTCCCATTCTAATTTTACCCAGGTTATTGTCTAAAATCTGTCAGAATCATTTACCAAGGAGAGTGATTCTGGGGAAAAAAAGTTTGACTTTTTCAGCCTTGATCATCATTTAGATTTTCCCTAGCAGTTCTTCAGAATTTCTGACTTCTGGTTGCCCTGCTCAAATTTGCATCTGTTGCTGCTGTTTTCCTGGAACATCCCTGGTAATTTTGACATTTACAAATAAGATATTTTTGTTATCTGTTATTAATAAATAAGGGACATGGTTAACATTTTGAAAGAGTTGGTGGCTGACACCATGACTTATTGTTGAAGAATATTTTTGGACCCTGCTGTATCTGGAAGCAAAATTAAATTATTTTCCACAACAATCCTTTATATAGAATCAATTTTCAGTATCTCTTCTAGAAATTGCTTTGAAGTTGTTAATTTTTTTGGATGGAAGGTGAAGAATAAATGCACTTTACATCTGGCTTATGATATAACCTCAGCAGATTATTAACTCTTCATCACAGTTTAGGAGTTGCTGTAAATTATCACATGCTATTCTTGACCTTAGGAAATCATATGTGTTAAAAAGTTATGAATACTGTATGTAAACAGTTCTGCATGATAGATGAGTGATCATGCTTACAAATGTGTTTTGTCATTTTTATGGACTAGTACATCTATTAAAATACATAAAAATATTTGAGAAATTTTAATTCAACATGTGTGAAAATTACATGAGCAAATTTTAAGTGTTAAAGATGCTAAACCGTTAAAGTAATACAAGTCTGATGGGATAGAGTATTTATCTAGATTCCCTGCACTGTCGTGTAATAGTATTTTATCTTTTAGGACTGTATCAATGAGATAGACACGGTCAAGTTAGGAGCTGGGATTTCCTGGTTCTGACCACTAGTCTGCATTAGTGGTTACCGTCAGGAAATTCTTCTCTTTTCCTTTAGCTGTGAAGTAAATACACTATAATGAGAGAAAGATGCTAAAAAGGTATTCTTTTTAATGTAGGACATTTGTCAATCTGGAATCCAAAGAATTTTCAAGTAGTGATTAATTAATAACATAAAGAATATCACTTATTAAGTAACTTCAGTAGTTTTCACTGTCCCTCTAATGTACCATGTACTTTAATGGAAAGAAATCAAGGAATAATTTTGTCTCTGATCATATGGTGGGAGTTCTTTCCTTCATTATGAAACAAAGATGGATGTAAAAGTACAAATGTAATGTACAAAATAATGTTTGCCTAAAATCAAGGTTTAGATTTTTTTTGTTTCATTCCTGAAATTTTTTTTTCACTGTCATTTACACAGTGAAAGAGCTCTTTGGTAACTTAGAAATACAGTAGTTTACCCTGGCAATCCCCTCATGTTTTGCTGAATTTGAGAGTTTTGACAGGTCTAAAAATATCTTATTTAATTCTGGTATGTCTCCCACAGATTTAACAACATATTAACTTAGAAATCAGCTTCTGGATAACTTGGCATGTGGGTTGCATCTCTTGTGATGTAACCTAATCCAGTAATCATTGTTATAATAAATGCTGATAAAATGTATATGCCTTTGAATATCAATTTTAAGGTCTTTACCTTCAGTTTAATATTTCTTGATTTTTAAATCTTAATTTATTTCAGAGAGTTATGGTTGAGAACCTGCTTTAAAAAAATTCTAGTGTATCTAAAATTGTAGACTTTTCATTTTGAAATTAATTTCTGATACCTGCTTTATGTAAAAATTCTGTAGAGAGAAGTTTGCCACTAATCTCAATCCTTGTGTTCCTTGCAATGAGTATTTTGCCAGGGAAGGTGAAATTTCTGTTTTCAAAACTTTTGCCTTGTAGCTGAGTTTCTGACTAGCTTTTGGTACACACATTTTTGTATTTTAAAAGTCAAAATTTCCATCCAGTAAAATGGCTGAAATGTCTAGCATGGTTTCACTATATAGTATTTTCAAAACAATAGTTTTCTGAGCCCCCCAAAAGGATGCAGGCTTGACACGTAAATGGGAAACAGATTGTGTTTTTTGGCTGGTACTACAATGCTGGTTTAGATGCTGGTTCAGTCAACTTCAGTCTTAGATTACAAGATTTGCAAATTAAAGGAAAACCAAAAAGGAAAGAACATCTGCATAAATCTTGTTTTTGTGGAGCTTTGTAAAGGCGCGCTTACTTTGTTCTTGGTGATAAGATAAACAAATCTTTATACGCACACAAAATGGATTGATGGTTTTCAGTACATACTAATGAATTTTCTAGGTTGTGAAACATCAAGATGCGTAATCTGTAAATTGAACAGAGAATTCCCTGCCCCTTCCCTTTACAAAAAGTAGCGGTGGCCGCAGAACTGCATGGCAGAAGCAATCAACGTGTGCTGCTCAGAGCTACTCAGTTTAAAGATGGGTAGATAAGACCAATTCTGTTAAATGGAAATATATTCCTGTTTTCCCCATATGGGTGGTTTAAACCATAGTTTGGAACATGCTGGATCTGTAGAACACCTTCAAATACACCAGAGAGCTCCAAAGTTCATCAGACATGCTTTTTGTTCTGCTCAGATGTAAACGTACTGGTATCTTCAGTTCAAGTAAATGCTTTGG